ATCAATTAAATAATCCTATGGCTAATTTTTTTTGTTTGCATCTCAGTTAATTTTATCATATTCGTCATAATTTAAGTGATCGTTATTATCCTTCATTTGTAAAAAAAAAAAAAGAAAAATGACAAAATATAAAAATATCTAGTTGCATATCATAAGGCATTTGACACTCTGTTTGCATTCAATAAAAAAAAAGATTAACCATCTACCAGTATGACAAAAACCTTTGATTCGTCAAAGGAATATTACATCACCAACCAAATGTACGTGAAAACTTTTATTTCACTTAGTTGCCTAAGTAAAGGAAGACTAACTCATAACTACAGTGAAGAGAAAAACATCAACCTGGTACCCTTGAGTTCACTGATTATGCCTCAGTTTGATGAGATAAGTTGCTTACTCTTAAAGAACGATATGGAGATGACCATATCTCAACTTAGAGAGAGTTAAGATCTATTATGCAAAAGAGATTTACACCATCCTACTTTGACAGGGATATGAATTTGAAGCTACAATGCCTTACTTAAGGAAACAAGCCAGTAGAGGAATATTATAAGGAGACGGAAATCATTATGACTCGAACTAGAGTTAAAGAAAAATCTGAAGCTACTATGGCTAAGTTTTTAGAAGGCTTGAACAAGGAAATTACTAGTATCCTTGAATTATAAAACTATGTTGATATGAAAGAGATGGTATACAAAGCTACTAAAATTGAAAGACAGTTAATGGACAGAAGAGCTATAAGAAGGATTGCTAGTACCACCCCTTAATTCAATTCTAGATGGCCTAAAAAGGGAGAGAATAAGCTGATTGAGGATAAAAAAGACAAACCACTTACTACTAACCCGGTCAGAAACCTTAACACACTTGCTGCAAGATAGAGTACTGTCAAATGTTTAAGTGTCTGGAAATTGGACATATTACATCATAATGTCCTAATCAACGAGTAATCATCATACGAGATGATGTGGATGTGATAGTGAATATGAAGACATGCCATCATTTGAGGTTAGTGAAGAAAGTATTATCCAACCGTTCCGGGCGAAGTGTTTGTCAACCAATAAACCTTGAATATGCAAGTTAAGTCAGAGGATGATGATAAGAGAGTAACCATATTTCACACCAGATGTCTCGTCAATAAAAAGGTCTTTAGTGTGATTATTGATAATGGAAGCTGTATTAATGTTGTCAACACCTTACTAATAGAGAGGGCATGGTTAATTTGCATAAACACACCTATTATCCTATAAATTACATCGACTAGATGACATTAAGGAGATTAGTGTCACTTAGCAGGTACAAGTTTCATTTTCTTTTAGTAACTATAAAGACAAGATATTATGTGATGTTGTCCCTATGCAAACAGGACACTTATTATTAGGGAGACTGTAGCAGTATTATGGGAATGTTAATCATAATAGTGGGAAGAATCATCATTCCGTGACTATGAGAGATCTCACATATGTCCTAACTCTATTATCAAGGAGAGAAACATACTCGGATTAACTCAAAATTAAGAAGTTTTATGATAAGTTCGCAGGGCGAACAACAGATACAGATAATGTTTAAACAAGGACCAAGAACCATTTCTTCATATAAGATCATTATGATATACCTAGATATATCACAGATTGTTTGGTATTCTCCTTAATTGTTTTGACACTAAAAGAAATGATGAAAACATCACAGATTTGAGGATGAATCCTCTCGAAGAAGGGAGATAGTGACGTAGGACGGACTTAGAAGGACCGTAATACTCCCGGAACCTCACTCCACGTATGATCAGATAGCTTAGCAACCTAAATCACCCTCCATACTTGTTTCTACACCCTCTCAATGATGGAATGCAAAAACAAGATAATCAAGAATCTAAACGAGAAAAAGAAAGATGTCACGACTTACTCGATAAATCGATCTCAACTCATCGACTCTTGTAAGATTTCAGAAAAGTTCCCTATCTTTTGAAGAACTTGAAGATGCTAAAAGAACTAGACAAAGACTACTCTCAAACAAAATTCAAACATTTAATTTTATTAATCTCTTGAATTAATTGTGTTTACATGGCTTGAGCTAAAACCTTTATATAGACTCTTATTTACTTATTCTACCAAAAGTAGGATTAAGTATTCCTACTCGGAACCTAAGTACTTAAAATAATTAAATAACTAATCGTAATATGAATAAAAAACAAAAATAACAAAATAAAATAAATTAAAAAGCATAAAGCTCCTTTATGGCTTAATGTTTTTTCCCATTCGGGTTTGGTCTCCAAATCGTGTTCGACCTCTTATTCTCTTGAATTGTTGTCTTCCTTTAATTTCTCAGAATTTCTAACATG